CACACACACACACACACACACACGGTGAGACAGAACCACAAAGTGGGCGGCTCGCCCCCCTCTCCTGCCTGCTCTGAGCTGAGTCCTCTGAGGGCCCCCAGCCCCCCCACAGCTGGTCTGGTCGTCTGGGTTGGCTTTACTTTGCTTTCCCCAAATGGTGCTTGGCGGTCGGGCTGCCTGCTCCCTGCTTTTCCTCCGGCACATAAGGACGTGCCCACCTCGCTGTCTCCGTTAGCACTGCCCAGTTCCACAGAGGGCACTGTGTCACGACGTTCTTAGGGATGGAGCTGGGTGGCTCGCCTCTGACCCTCCCTCCCACGTTGGTGCCAAGGTGGACACACCAAGGAATGCACAAGTCCCCCCTGGATTCAACGTAACCGAAAATGCAGCTTGGCCCACCCTTCACTGCCTTTTCTGCATGTGGCACCATCATTTTTACATTTTCCAGTCAGGTGACTTTGGTCACAGCTTCTAGTCGCTAATGCGTCTGAGCCCCCCTCACCTGGTCGCCTTCACATCCTGGGCTCACCTGTAACCGAGGTGGCGGCACTCACTTTCACGAGTGTGTTAAACTCCCGCGCAGACGGCTCTCTGCTGCTCCTGTGGTACCGGCAGCACACTTCCGGCAGGATGGCCTAGTGGTACATCTTCTGTCTCGTGAGAGGACGTCCGGCCACTTGGCTCTTCTCCAAGGCTGACCTCTTATCTTAAACATGTCTTAGAATAAACTTAGTGTGTTCCTCCGAAAACGCAGCTGGGACTTCATTGTGGTTACTTTAAGTTTATAGAAAATGTTGTGAGAATCGCCCCTCTATTATGCTAAGTCACCCATCTGAGAGCATAGGCTATCTCTGTTTATTCAGATAATTGTCTAATACTCCCTAGGTAATTTACAGATTTTGTTACTAGTATGAATGGTGTCTTATTTTTTAAATTATATTTTCAGATTGATGCTGTTTTCAGAAAGATGCTATTGATTTAAATTTTTTTGTTTGAAATATTTGAAGACCCCCAAAGCAGGGGGTCAGGAGGCAGAGGCCACCAGGGAAAGCGGGCACAGCGGCCTCTGCTGTGGCTTCCTCAGGAAGGTGCACGAGGCAGGGCGGGCAGGCAGAGGATGGGCTGTGTGAATGATGTCGCAGGTCCCGGCACAGGTGCTGCCCCTAGTTGTCGGGTACCTGGTGGCGGGGAGGGCAGGGGAGTGGCCATGGGTAGGAGCCCCACCAAGGGGACGGCTCTGGACTGGCTGGTTTGCACTGTTAAATTGGCAATTTTTAGTCTGTAGCCCTATGAATATGAGCAGAGATGTAGATTCAGGTAACTGCCCACAATCAGGATATGGAATGTGTCCCCCAAAGCCCCCCAGTGTCTTCAGTTTTTGCCAATTATGCATAGAGCCGCTATAAACGTGCACAGGTTTCAGTGTAAACAGGTTTTCCTCTCTTTAGGTGTAAATACTCAGGCGGGGAAACCACCAAGTAAGGTTTAGAGCAGGGGCTGCCAGACCACAGCCTGAGGGCCAAGCCCAGCCCTCCAGCTAAGAGTGGTTTAAAAATAAGAGGACTGTGAGAGGGGTGGTGTGCTGTGAGGTGCCCCGGGCCTGGACAGAAGACGTGACCCAGAGCTGGGAGCTGGCGTCTGAGTCCCTGCGTGGGTCCGCCACGGTTACGGGATAAAAGTGCGGAAAGCCGGCTTTCAGACACGTGTTCTCCTTCGGCAGATCAATTTCAACCTGATCCTGCTGCTGCTGCTGGAGCTGCTCACGGCGGCCATGGTGATCGTCTCCGCACGGTCCAGCGAGGCGTCTTGCAAGCAGAGGGTAGGTCTGCTCTGAGAGGATGTTGCACGGAGGGTGGGGGTCATGCCACCCCCTTGCAGGGCAGCCCCCCGAGAACGGGAACGCCACCTGTCTGTGGTGGGCTGGGCAGGCCCCGCTCTCTGGGTCTCTTGGAGGCTGGTGGCCTTGGAAGGTGCAGCAGGGCCTCGTCTATCGTGAGGCTGTGACCACGCCCACCCCCAGCAGTGTCACAGAGACCCAGTCTGTGGAAGTGCCACCGCACATAAACACATTCTCACAAGCAAGGAGGAAGCCCGCGTTGAGCTGCTGCTCCCAAACCTGGGTCACTAGTGGCTTCCAGCTGCTCTTGGCTCAGAAGGTCCCAGGTGATGGCCTGCGCTGAGGGCCCCTGGGTGCACTCCGGCGAGCCGTGTGTCATTCCTTTTTAGGGTTCCATCTCTGACAGCACCAACACTTTGTACGAAGTGACATTTCCTGCTCGGGTCCTGAAGTCCTACTCAGTAAGAAAACGTCCCTTTTCTTTCTCATTTTGTTTTATTTGGGGGAGGATAGCTTAGGCTGGATTAAACCACCACACTTATTTCTCATGATGAGCAGGACATGGCTGCACAGACTGTGCACGTCTTACGTTCTGTTAGTAATACAGCTCCAGTACCGTTGTTGGTGACAAAATCCCTTGTCTTAGAAGGTACCAGTATATTCTTAAGCTTTTAGGGGCACAGGTTTGTATAGCTAGACATGGGTATTGATGTTGATATAGATTAAATGTTAACATAGGTTAGATATTGAGATAGGTTAGGTATAGACCCAGGTTCGGTGCAGACCGGGTTCGGTGCAGACCGGGTTCCATACAGGCGATCTATAGGTCCTTACGAGGTAACACACGCTGTCCTGATGGACACCTGCTGTCCCTGAGCCGTTCGAAAGCATGTCCCCTTCCACTCTGAGGAGTGCCCTGAAGGATAAATTATGCAGCCACTGTCTCTTTTTACTTGAGCTTCCAGTCATTTTTGTTTTTGTTTTTTCGGTCTGCTTGTTCTATAACTGAAAGCTGTTAACCTCCCACTCTGAATTGGCATCATCATTTTCTCTTTGAAAGTCTGTAGATTTTTTGAGCCTGCGTTTTTATTTACATACAAGTTTAGCATTGCTTCCCGGTGAATCTCTCTTTTTTTTCTCTCATCATCACATAGCAACTCTATCTTTAGTAACGGTTTTTGCCGTAAAATCTGTATTGATGGCTTTGATTTAAGTACATCAACGATCTCTGGTTAACATTTGCCTGGTGTTTCTTTTCCCTTTTTACTTTCACCTTCTCTTGTCTTTATATTTTGATCCATCTTTATAAACAACATGTAACTGTATTTTATTTTCTACTTCATCTCTTGTTCTCTCCGTGGCCTTTTGAATTGAGCCCGTTCACCTCAAGAGTGACTATGGCACATTTATGTTCATTTTTGCCGTCCTTGGTTTTCTGTTTGACGTCTTTTCCCACCTTGCCTGCCCTCCTGTGAAGAGGTGAGGGCTCCTTCCTTCCTTTCCTGCTAATTTTAGCTCGAAAATCATGCATTTTCAGTATTCCTTTGGAGGTCACCCTCAACCTTTCAACATGGTCGCTCCTTTGCCCTCCCCACCCTGCTGACACTCGTGTTCTGGGGTCTCTGGGGAGCCTGTCCCATGTCCCCTGGTGACGCCACCTCCACTGCCCACCCCCCGCAGGTCATCGAGGTGATTGCTGGCGTCTCTGCCGTCCTGGGTGGAGTCATCGCTCTGAACATGGATGACACTGTCTCGGGCCCGCACCTCTCCGTGACGTTCTTCTGGATTTTAGTGGCCGTGAGTCCATCCTGGGTGGCCCTTGTCCGTCGGGTCGGCCAGGCCACACTGCTGCCGGCTGCAGCCCTTTGCACTTACAAGCCTGACGTGGCTGCGATTTGAGCTCAGTTTTGGTGACACTCAGGCAGGAAAGCAGGTGGGAGAGGAGAGGGTGGGAAAGTGGGCGCTGGTGGTGCCGTCGTCAGGCGAGTTTGGAAGTCACTGGTTAAATGAGTCAGTGTGTTCACTGATGTTATTTTAACTGCTATTGTTATTTGATAGTTTTTGTGTTATTTTCTCCTGAAAAATACTTACTTTTACTTTACATAGTTTTATAATAGATGATACTTATATTGTTTGATAACATAATGCATATTTCACCAAATATATTTACTGTATATTATTATTTTACATTAAATACTCCCACATAAATGCTTAGCGCACACCTAGCATGCACGTGGCAAGTGCTTAACACGTGGTCAGAGTGCTCAAAGCCAGCATGGCGGCTGGGGCCCTGCGTCCCAGGGGGCGGTGTCTCCTGGGGCCGCTGGGGCTGACCACAAAGAAACAGCCGACGACCCACGGCGAGGCCATGTGCAGCTGGCCACTGTACACTTCAGAGCCGTTTGTACCATGAAGGCAACTGGCTGAGGATCAGCCGAGGTCTCCCCAGAATGCAAAGTGTGGTCACTGATTGGACCCTGAACCAGCATAAAAAACGGCTGTGAGTGGGACGTTGTTGGGACAGCTGGGAGTCTGAACGTGGCACGTTCCTGCGACGCTGCTGTTGGGTCGTGTCCAATTTCCCCCGTGTGGTGCTGAGTTGTGATGGCTCAGGAGAGTGCCCTGTCAGCACACGCACGCACAAGTGTGCTAGGTGGTGTCCCCCGTCAGCATATGTGGCAAAGTATCAGCAGCAGGTGATTGCAGGGTTCTCAGGCGCCCCCAGCACGTGGGTGATCCCAGAGTTGTCAGGCGCCCCCAGGGTGGTTCTTGCAGCTTCTCTGCAGGGTTACAAATTGAGCTGAGTTGCATTTGAGGAACAGAGAGCACAGGAAGCCTCAGAGAAGCCAGCCTGCTTCCCTGGCCACCTGCCCCGGCCCTCCTGGTGACAAGGGTAGCTCCCATCACAGGGGAGGGCACACGCTTGGAATCTAACTTCTTGGACTGTCACCTCTGAAGTTTTTCTTTTTTCTTTTTCTTAGTGTTTTCCAAGCGCCATTGCCAGTCACGTGACAGCAGAGTGTCCCAGCAAGTGTCTGGTAGGTGAAGCTCGGCCCCAGGGTATCAGTGACCCGCTGAGTGGTGCCAGGGCCTGGCTCGTCCCTTCTACACTGCCACGTGACGAGGCCCCTGCCGCACCAGGAGCCAGGCTGCAGGGCTGTGGGCGGGGTGGCTGGAAGACGGACCTGTGGTTGTCCGAGGGCTGGACTGTTTGGGAACAAACAGACTCTCACTTTTGATGCAACTGCTATGACTCAGCACGGGGAGGGCAGGAGGCCAGCAATTCCTAAGTGTCATTTCTTCACCGGAGTGGAGAATGGCATATAAATTGGGACACAGTGTGGCACGCAGTATGCTGGGGTCCGTGGGCAGTCCTGGTGCAGATGCTTCAGCAGGTGGCACACGCCGAGTGGGCGCACGGGGTCACAGACGCCAGTGGGTGTGGAGCTGGGCCCTCAGGCCACCGCGACGCCCTCGTATCCCCCTCACCACACCCAGGTGGAGGTGCTGATTGCCATCTGCAGCCTCACGTCCCCGCTGCTGTTCACGGCCGCCGGCTACCTGACGTTCAGTGTGCTGAGAGTCATGGAGATGTTTGAAGCTTACCCGCCAGCCATCAAGGTACGCGCTCCTTTCCGTGGGCTGAGTGAGCTGGGTGCCCCTTGCACTGTGCGTGCCTGAGGGGAGGCCCCGGGACACGTGGCTTTGCAGTGTGACCGTGTGGACAGTCAGGGGTCTGCCCGGTTCTCTGACGCCTGCTCTGTCCTGCTGTCCTGTGGGTCCAGCTCTTCTCTCAGCCGCTGTCCACTCAGGCTGCAGCTGTTTCTGTCACGTTGGGCCATCCCCCTGGTGTCAGCACAGCCCTGCAGCCTATCCGGATAGCTGTCCTCACAGTAATCTTGAGTCTTTCAGCGATTCCACAGCCATCACAGTTTAGAATCAGCCATTCAGCAATGGTCGCGGGAGGTCCTGTAGGACTTTGTATTGGAGTCACATTAGGTTTACAGACACACCCGAGGACTGAGAGCCTCTTGTGCATGGGCACAGCCGTCACTAGGACTCTGGAGTCCCCATAACCTCCTGTCCTGTCCCCGCGTGGCGGCCACATCGCGAGGTTTGTTCCTCAGGAACCCAGCGTTGTTTCCAGGGTGGATGGTATTTGCCCCAAATGTTTATCCTGAGAGATCCTGACCTACCGAAGCATTGGAAGTCCAGTGCAGTGAACACAGAGATTCCGCAGTGGCCTCTGTGTGGCTTACACGCGCATGTTTATGCTGACAGGTGGGTGGAGTGCACACCCACACAGGCGTGCACAGCGAGTACAGACGCTCGACAGCCAGACCCCTCATCCTTAAATACGTTGGCATTTCTGCAATTAAGGACCGGGTCCTTCATGCCCACAGCCTCATGGTCACACCTGAGGTGCTCAAGTTACCCTGCGACCTCCCTGCTGTCCAGTTCACATTCGCTTTCCATGAATCGTCCCAAGAATGTGCTGGGGCTGAGCCCTGCCCAGGCTCACGATGGCATTTGGCCGAAAGTCACAGAGCGGTCCCCACTCTCCCCCATGCACTGACTTCTTGGAATCCGGGCCAGTTGTCCGGGAGATGGTCATACCTGTGGACCTGTTTCCTGTGGCATCCACGGGAGTGAATTCAGGAGCAGGTGGTGTCACAGTTCTGCCCAGTTCGGCAATGGCTTCCACACTGATCCTCAAGTAGGCACGCGTCCCCTCTCACAGGGAGAAAGTGACCCAGATGTCAGCCTGGGTACCACGTGGACTTGTTGTCCTAGCACCTTCACCTGTGGCTTAGCATTAATGGTGGGTTCTGGCCTGGGTGGTTCTTACGTCAGAGAGTGAGACAAAAGTAATGCTCAGGTCTCCACTCTGGCTTCCAAGTGAGCGTGAGGGGCAGCACGTCCCTCCCGCGTGAGCAGGCACGCATGTGTGAGGGGCACGGATATTAGATTCCTTCTAACTGTAGATCTTGTCAACTTTGGCCTATGATATTTTTCTTTCCCTACTGAGTCGAGAACTTTCAGCTTTTCATGTAACAGAAGCTCTCTCCGGCTTCTCTCGGGCGTATCTGAGTGGCCAGCATCACTGCTCTGGTGCTTTGGGGCCCTTATGAAGTAAAACAAGGGTGACTTGAACAAGTACCGCTACACTGTGACAGTGATTTGATAACCGAGGCGGGGAGTGCTGGACAGAGGGACAAGCCATGTCCCCAGCGGGATGGTGTAAGATGTCATCATGCTGCTCAGAACACAGTGCAATTTAAAACTTGGGAATTGTTTATTTCTGGAATTTTCCTTAATATTTCTGACTGCAGTTGACCGTAGGTAACTGGAACTGTGGGAAGTGGAACCACAGATGGGGGAACCACTGTGTTTTTTATTGGACTCACGGCTAATTTTACACATTCACTTGAAGAGAGTTGCTCATTCTTTGTTTTTGACAGTGACGCTGTGAGGACACCGAGGTCTTTCTTATGTTAACGTTGAGTGAGTTGCTCTGTATTTGAGGCTGGAGGCTGTCGTGCAGCGTGGGAAGGTCGGGTGCTTCGTGGACGCCTGTGCAGCCACCGGGCTTCCTGTGGGCCAAGTGCAGAGCGCTCCGTGTCCTCTGGCCCCCACCCAGTTTGCCCAGGGCACCTCCTGCCATCTCCCCAGCCACGTCACTCCCTCTGGTCCAGGGCACCCCTCAGCCTCATGTCCGGCAGCCAATGCTCGACCCTCCAGCCTGAGCTCCACACAAATCTGTTGATGGCTCCGGTGTCACGCCGCCTGGGACCGTCCCTCTTTTTCCTCCAGAGCAGACTCCACCAGTGTCGGGAGCGTGTTTCCTGCCTGCACATGGCCGGTCCCTGCTGCCCCAGACAGGCACTATTGGCGTGGCCTGGTACTTTTCCCGGCTCCCTTGCTGACGAGGTGGTTGTCGGGGGGCATGGGACACGTGACCATGAGCAGCGAGCGCAGTCCACCAGGCTGGTGGCCCATGGGCCATTTTGTGCCTATCTGTTAGACCCGGAACAACTCAGAGCAGGACTGATTTCCTCCTTGCTCAGCCGCTGAGAACGGCTACTATTCAGGTTACTGCAGTCACAGCACAGCTGGTGCCCAGCCAGCGTGGGGGGCCAGGGGCTGCTGCACGGACCTCCTCACAGCTGCTGCATCCTGGGCTGTGGGCACGGGAACTGGCTGCATTGTGTCCTCTGCTGGCGGGGGCTCTCTCAGTGGCGTGGGGTAGGGGGGAGGGACAGAGAGCCAGGAGGGGAGGCGGGTGGCCTCTCACGCTCGTTTCTGCCGCCAGCACTCCTACGACGTGCTCCTGCTGCTCCTGCTGTTGGAGCTGCTGCTGCAGGCGAGCCTGCACACGGGCACCGTCATCCAGTGCGTGAGCTTCAAGGTGGGCGCGTCCTGGGACGCTGCGCAGATGGGCCTGCAGGAGCGCCCGGCGGGGCAGGTGAGTGGCTTCTTCAGGGGACCTCCCTGCCCTGATGGGGCCGCCCTCCCAGGGCCCCGTGCAATGTGACATCCGCCCTGGCTGAGTTCTTTCAAGACCTGTTGTGCTACTTTGTATGTTTAAAACACCACAGAAAAGTCTTAAAGAAGTAAACTATGTAATACTTTCTTAGAGCCAGCTAGGCAAACAAACACACATCCGTTTCTGGAAAAGTACTAAGAACCAAATGCCTCCAGGTTTACTCTTACAACACAGATGAGAACATTGCAAGGATTTGCATGGGTCACACAGGGCTCACCTGCTGCTCCCTCTCTGTGGGGAGGAGTGCCCCCCAAGCCCCTGCAGAAGGGGTGGCCTCGCGATCTCTGGCTGGCAGGCTCACCAGGCTCACAGCTGCCTGGACCGCACCCTGCCCCGTCCAGCCTGTCTCCCCCCACAACAGGCAAGGCTGGGTTGGCATCTCCTCCCCGTGAGCTTCCCATCCAGCGGTGTGTTCACTGGGCACACCTGCCCATTGGCCTCGGGAGTACAGGGCCCCCAAAGGCTGCCTGGGGTGGAGTGGACACTCCTCCCACCTGGCCTCCACTCGGGCCCCTCACAGTTTCAACGTCTTGCGCTCTGCATACCACCCGCGTCCTGGCTGCGCCCGGCCCTGTGCCCCTGCCAGGCTGCCCCTGCCACCACTGGGGGACGGAGTCCTGCTGGCAGTCCCATCCTCAGCGACCTGACCTTCTCCATCCTGTCCAGCGCTGTTTCCTCCATCACACCTACCACTTCCTTGTCACTGTTACCTGGTAGTGGTCAGTGCCCTATGGGGGCGGCTTTGTCCCCAGGCCATCCATGCGATGGACCTGCTTCTGTGTCGGGACACCAGGGCATAGGGTCAGTGAAGTCCTACACCCCCAGGTTCCAGGGGCTCAGGGCCAGCCCGGCAGCTGCCCTCCCTGTTTCTGGAGGTCACTGGTGACCACTGCCGTGAGCGTTCTGGTTCCTGGGCGTCAGACCCCTGCCGGTGACTTTGCACCGACCCTGGCCAGTCCAGGCCCCTTCTCTGTGGGCGCACCATCCCCTGCTCCCAGGAAGAGCTCACAGCCCCCCTTTATTCCTGCACTGTGGAGTGTATCAGTGCAGGTTGCTGGCCCACAGCTCCCCATCCAGAGCCACATGTGAGCTGCAGGGAGAGTTCACCCCCAGCCCAGGCTCCGGTCCTGACAGAGTGAGGGGCAGGGGCCCGGGGTCTTTTCTCCCCTGCCCTTCACAGGTGGAGAAGGGCTCTCACCTTAGCAGGGCCCGCCTCCCGCCTCCTGCCCTCCCACACATGGTGGCCCAGGAGAAATGACGCTTTACCTGTCTTGGTCACAGGTGGCCAGAAGCCCCCTGAAGGAGTTTGACAAGGAGAAAGCATGGAGAGCCGTGGTGGTGCAGATGGCCCAGTGACAGCGGGACAGGGAGGCCACGGCGCAGGGCTCGCCTTCCCCCTGCATGTGGAACGGCAGACACGCGTGTGCTGGCACCGCCTACTGTTGTACTAACCCCTTCCCCGTTTGCCGGGCGGGCGGCGAGGTGGAGTTGCCACTTCCTGTGGTAGCTTAGTTTGCGAGGGCGGGCACTTCCTGTGGTGGTTTAGTTTGAAGCAGGCAAAGGCTGACCACCTCCTGCATGTTGCCAGTCAGTTCAGGGCTCCCAGGGTGGCCTGAGCGCACACGGGCTGGAGAGAAAGGGCTCATGCAGGGGCTGGTGTGCAGGCAGCTTTCCTGTCCTCTCTGTGACCTGCCACCGTGTCTGCCTCTCCTGCACATCACCTGACTGTCCCACCTGATTTGTTGAGCACCTACTGTGTGCAGACAGTGTACACCCTGGCATAGCCGGCATGGCTCTTACCCATTTCGGCGTTTCCCTTCTGACATGTGCCAAACAGAGCCCCCGCCAAGTACTGTCTCCTTGACAAGAGCACAGCCCAGGGCTCTGCTCTGCCTCCAGACAGGGAGTGTGGGCACAGGGCAGCCCCACCCACTGCGTCTGTCGCCAGTGCCCACGGGCTGTGCGCCTGCCCTCTCCTTTTCTTACCCCAGCCATTGTGAGGGGACCCTGCCTGCTCAGGGGTGCTGGCCCATGTCTGGCGGCTTATTTGTACTTGTCACGTGTCATTCTCAGCCTCTCAGCCCCTGTGAACCACCACACAAACATGGACCCCGTCTACTGTGCCGGCTGAGTGTTCTTTGGGGTGGGGACACGTCCCAGGCTTTGAAAGCTGCCTGGGCCACATTTCTGTGTCTCCATGGCCTCGGGGACAGGGTGACATGGGCGAGGCTGAGCTCCCTCAGGCCAGACCACTCCCACTGCCTACACACAGACCACCCTGGACTCCTCGTGGGTCCTCGCTGGGCGTTTTCCAGCCCTCGCCCTCTCCTAACAAGTAGTTTGTCTCCATCCTCCCTGACCTCCTGCGCCTGTCACTCCCAAATGTAAGAATAACATTCTCTTTGATTGACACCATGGCCAAGAATTAGTTTGTGTGTCATCTCCGTCCCTTGAGTACACCTGGAATCTTCTGGAACTGCTAGGATCTCCCCACTGACGTGGGCACCAGTGAGCTGGGAGCACCTTCTCCAGTGGGGATGTGAGTGTCCTGGGTGCTGTTTCCAGGCCAGGGCTACACCTCGGAGTGTCTCTGTCCCTTGTCTCCCAGTGTAAGGCGGTAGTAAGCAGCCTTGTGCTGGAAGAGGCTGACATCCGCTTTACTTAGTGCAGGTACATCAGTTAGACCCCGCGGGCTGGTGAGGGGGGTCCGAAGGTCCTCTTGCTGTCTCACTCTTGAGCACGAGTGACGAGCTGCCAGCGACATGACAGGTTGGGTCATTTGCACTCAAACAGGAGGAGTGCAGTAAGACACCTGGGAGGGCGCACAGTGTCAGCTAAGGAAGTGTTCTCCAGAGCTGCTGCTCTGACCGCCTCCTGCTGTCCTTGGAAGGCAAGGCGAGGACCGGGGAGGACCAGGCTGGTTCCCAAGTAAGCGTGAGCGCTGCCAGGTGACTCTCACCTGCACACAGTCAGACCCCACCCAGCTGCAGCCTGGCCACCTCCCCTTCCTGCGGCTCCAGGGGTCAGGGGGTGGGGCAGGTGGGGTCTGCTCCTGAGCTGGGGAGAGGAGCCACCGGGACAGCACAGGTGATGCCGACCTCTTTTGGGGGCTCCTGAAGGTCTGAGTCAGAGCCGTAAGTGGTGGCACCCAGGGCCTGACTACTGGCTGGTGCTTCCTTATCTCGGAGAGCTTGTAAAGTCCAGACAAATGGGGTTTAAAAACTTTGTAATTCTGTCAACTTACATTTTTCTTTGATATAGTTAATACTGCCTGAACAATAAATGCTAACATGCAAATGTGGCCCGATGCCTGTTTGATGTTGGGGTCCCAGTTCTGAAAAGGTTGAGAGGTAAAGTGTAGCATGGAGGTGGGGGCCACCTTTGGATTCATTTATGCGGCAGGTGACCCGAGGCCAGTCTGCAGGTGAGAACCCAAAGGGGCATGAAGGAGGCACTGGGTCTTCTATGCCTCAAAGCAGGGGCAGAGCCTCACTTTGGGGTTAGCTTGGAAAATTATATACAAAATAAAGATGATTTTAAACCAAATAAAGATGACATCCAGGTTTCCGAAATTTAGCGAGCAAGGCACTGGTGGGGTGAGTGCGTCTTTCCCGCTCCCGGCTCCCCGCACAGAGATGCCAGACAGAGAGGTTGAGCCTCGGCCTGGCGGGTGGGATGTCTGGGTGGCAGGGACCCCGTGTGCGGGCAGGACACCCGGGGGCCTGGGACGCCAAGGCGGCTCTGGATTCGTCTGCGGGACCCGGGAGCTTCCCCGGCAACCCGATCGTCCCCAGCCCGCGAGGCGACACCTCATCTCCACCTGGGGGGCTGTGCGCTCCCCTAAGCCCGGCCGCGGGGGGCCCGGGGCGTCTCTGCTGGAGACGCTGGGGGTGAGGGTCTCGAGGGTCCCACCATGCGGGCGAGAAGGCTGCGCCAGGCGGGCGGGGCCTGTCCCGGGCTATTCCCTGGGGGGCGGGGGCCGGTTGTGACCCTCAGGTCTTTATGACTTCGGGGGGGCTGACTGCCGGGGCCAGTCTGTGTGACCCCGGGTGGGGGAGGCGAGGCCGCTCGCCGGCCCTGCTCCCCGAGGACACTATGGCCCGCGGGACCCGGCGTCCCGGACCCCGCG